GGCGACCTGCGCTTGGAGTGCCTGCAGCCTCTTTGCTACCCAGCTCATCGAACCTGCACTGCCGTGGTGAGACAATTCCGGCTACCCCAGCTTATAGGGGAAAATATAATCCAGCCATTCGGGCAAATCCCTCCCCTCTGCTTCCCTCACGTGAATAAGATGTGTAACTAAGGTGTACCCATATATGTTTAATGTGTTGTAATCACTCCTTTTGAACCTCCTGCCCCAAATTGCTTTGTTTTCCCCACAATAAACCTTGCTGTTGTTAGAAATTTAGTAAGCACTGAGCGAGTTATTCACTCAAAAAAGTCAGGACATAAGTTCCTGTATCCTCTGTGTGAGGCGATACCCACGTGTGGATCTCTCAGCAAATCCTGGTAAGTTAATACACTCCAATAAGGAGATATAATAGGTCACGGATCGTGACATATGGCCCTAAGGTGACTGAATGACAAACATTCTATATTGCAACTACACTGAAATGTAAAAATGAGCTGTCACTAAAAGGAACAGACTTATTCCCTTTAATAGGTACCCAAGGACTAGCATCTCTATGAACATGAAAGGAAATGAGGGAGCATGCACTCTCCCCTATCACTCTTCCCCACATGCAGAGTTCAGTGGAACAAATGTCAAGGGAAAGGAAAACAAATGATAAAAATATCCAAGGTGGAGTCTCCATTTTATATCCTGGAATAGTCATACATAGATGCTGATCTCCCTTTCACTGTGTCAGCAAATCAGACAGTGTTAATGTTTGTATGTTTTGAACCTGAAGAAAGTATATTTAACTTCTCCCAGAAAAAGTGGGTTCAAAGAATGTATTAAGAATTACAAAGTTCACTAGATAACGTGATAAAATCACTCAGAATTATATCATTTGGAGATTTCTGACTTTATATGAGACCTATTCTAATAGCTTGAAAATATTAAAAGACATTATATTAAGGTTGAAGCTGTTTGGAGTAGCAAGGGATGAAATTAAGTTCCAAAGTCAGATATTTCCTGTGACACTTATTAAAGGTTCTGTACAAAGTTATTTTTACATAAAAATATATTAAAAAAATACTCTACAGACAATTCCAGCTTACTTAGACAGATTCTTAGAGACTGTAATAGAGAACTACTCTGTTAGAACTCACAGCTCAACACAGCAGTTGGACCAAGGGATCCACAACTTTGGACCAAATGGTGCAATTAGCTACATTAGCTGTAACTACCAGGTAAAATCTTTTCTTGCTCCCCTTGCCCCCCCAAGTGCCTCTGAGCAACAGGTATGAGACTCTCATTGAGAAGGACCAGTCAAATGAGGATGGGGACAATAGGCAAGCTACACCAGAGTTGTCTACACAGACAAGCCTTCTGCCCATATCACCACCACACACAAAAGGAAGAAAAGAAGGGTTCTAGCTGTAGGAGACATTGTTCTGAGAGGAACAGAGGGTCCAATATGCTGCACAGACCCTCCTCACAAGGAGGTCTGCTGTCTCCCAGGAGCCTGGGTTAAGGACATCACTAGAAAACTTCCTAGCTTAGTGAGGTCCACAGATTACTACCCACTACTTTAAGAGATATGAATACAAAAACTTAATTTAACTAAATTTAAGGGCAATTGCCTCTTCACTCAAGAAGAGGCAACTGATATCACAACCATCTGCTCTTGTCCGAACAAAAAAATGAAAAGAGCAGACATGCAGCAAGACCTTTTCCAGCTTTTCAAGATGACATTTATGACTGTATATCCCAAAGTCTTAATGTCACGGAGACTTGAATACATCCTGCTCATTCTAGATATAAGAAGCTAAATCTCCACACCAAACAAATCACCTCTTTATCATCTGCAAGTTATGTGGCATTACAGGAGTCACTCAAGTCAGCTTCTAACATGTACATCTTAATAGGCATGTCCCTCTTTTCATGGAGTTCACATGAAACAGGGTATTTCAGGATATGTCCTTCTGGGTGCCAGAGAAAGAGTGAAAAAGCACCCTGTTACCCCTCAGTTGACAGAGGGGTGAATTTCTAACTGGCCATTCTGTTAACATTTATTTTCTGACAGCACTCACCTGCACCTTTTGTTTCGTTTTCCTCAGTTCCAAAGGAGGACTCAGCCCAATTTCACAGTGAGACAAATAATCAAGAGTAGCCATCTACAAGCTGCTTACAGTCAGTGGAAGGAGATAACTGAGACAGAGGTGCCTGTTTTAGTAAGGGTTGAAGCAAGTCAACTGGCTAGGAAGACTTGTTTTCTGGAGCTCTGACAGAGGAAGTACTAAAAGAAGCATACTGCAATGTGACGGGAAACAATAAAAGGGTAATTGCAGCTTAATTACAAGAAAGTAAAATAACAACAGTATTAAATTTGGATGCACATAATATCAACTATCAGGATCACAATGCTAATGAAATAATAAAAGTCATCATCCATTCAGGAAAGTCACAGAGGAATCAGGAAACATGCTACTCTATTGTATTTCTTCCTGAAGTTTATCATTTTTGATCTCTGCTTAACACATATTTATCCAGTAAAAATACTGGAAAAAACTGCATTATCCTAGAAGTCAGGATTCTTTAAGATTGACTTTGTTTGAAATTGCCAGAAAGGATATCATTTGAACTCAATAGATTAATTT